ACTATACTTATAAATATTCAAAATCAATTATTTAAATTGCAAATTCTTAAAATCCTTAAATAAAGCAATTATGTAATTTAAAGGTTATATAAATACCAATTTAAAACAACCAGATACAGCCCTAAGAGAGCTTCAAATCAAGCTAATTTTATAATAATTAGATTACTGGATGCTAAAATAGCTTTGAAAGTTGATAAGACATTAAATTAATCTTAAGCAGATTTAAAGTTAATTTTGAAAGAAGTATTCATAAGCAAATTTTGAATTAATTTTCTAATGTTGCCTAGGTTTGATTACCTATAGAAGATAAAAAATTATCTATTGTTATGTTAAAATATGAAGTTACTTATAAATCCTAAAATATAAAATTTTTATTCTAATACAATTATAACTAAATTATAATTAAATTATAACTTTAATGTATATTAATTTAATTACAATCTAATCCAATTCAATTTAATTTAACCATATCTCTGAAACTAATTATTCTAATCTGATTTTAACCAAATCAACTTCAATTTAAATTCTAACCCAACTAAACTAAACCTAAATTACCTTAGAATTTGTTAAAACTTTATCCTTTGTTTGTCACAAAGTGACACTAAGGTATTACCTGAGTAGAATTGCTAGTTCCCTATAATATATTATGCTAGTTCACTTAGAAAAATGTTACACTGCTCCCTTAAATGGGTTGTGAAACCACTAATTGCCTAATTAGAAAAAACAATAAACAAAAATCGCATAATGATATAAATAAAAAACATATTTTTGAAGTCTAGTAAATCTTTATTTTATATTTAATTTTTTATTTTCTCTTTATTATTTTTTATTTTATTTTATTTTTTAAAAAAACAAATGAGAACGAAAAATGAAAAATGAAAAAAAGGAAAAAAAAAACTAACAAAACGAAAGTACTAAAGAAACAAAAAATTTAAGAATCCAAGAATGAAAGAAACAAAATATGAAAAAAACAAAGAAATAAAGAATCAAAGAACTAAAGAATTAAAGAATTAAAGAATCCAAAAACTTAAAAAGCAAAGAACCAAAGAACTCAAGAATAAAAGAAACAAATAATGAAAGTACCAAAGAAATAAAGAACCAAAGAATCACTAATGAAAGGACCAATGAAAATACTAAAAGTATCAAAGAAACGAACCACTAAAGAACCATCAAAGAATGACAAAAGGACCAAAGAATTACCAACAAAAGGACTAAAGAACTACCAAAGTACCATCAATGAAAGTATTAAGAACTACCAAAGAATCATTAAGGAAAGGACTAAAGAACCACTAATGAACTACCAACGAATTACTAATGAAATTACTAATAAAAAGACTAAAGAACAACTAACATAAAAACTAAAGAATAATGAAAGTACCAAAGAATTATCAATAAAAGAACCAAAGAACTACTAACAAAAAAATTAACAAGAATACCAAAGAACCATCAAAGAACTATATCAAAGAACCATCAATGAATGTAACAAAGAACCATCAACAAAAGACCAAAGAATTACCAAAGAACTACTACCAAAGAATGAAAAAAGATATATTAAACAAAATAAAAAAAGAAACTAAAAAAAATTAACAAAAATTAGATTAAAAAGAGATTAAAAATTAAAAAAAAAATAATGAAAAAAATACCGTAGGTGGGAATTTAAAAAAATCAATAAAAAAATAAAAAAAAATTACTGATGGGGGTATTTAAAAAAATACTGTGAGAATTTAAAAAAAAATTAAAAAAAAAAAAATAAAAAATGCCAGTGGGATATAAAAAATAAAAACAAGAGAACTGGAGCGGAATAAAAAAAGGGAAAAAGAAAATAAAATAATAAATAATCAAAAAAAATTTTTTGAAATTAAAAAACAAAACAAAAATAATTATTAAATAAAAACCTGGTGGAAGGAATAAAAAAAAAACAAAAAAACAAAAAAGCAAAGTTATGATATGCTGTGATGAACTTTGAACATGAATATCTCAACTTCTACCAGTCTACTGCCTTTCAAACTTGATATGCTAATTCAGTAAGTTCTGCACTTTTAAAAA